TTCTTTGAGGATTTTCTGAAATGTTTGAGCTGGTGTGATTGGAGATTGAGTTGCCAAGTGAGAGTCCTGCAGGCCGGTTTATCCACAGTCTTCAGCAGAATACATATGTGTGTTCCCAATTCTATGTTGAGTTTCTTGGTGTGTGAGCTACTTTAAAATGAAGAAATCAAGGAAAAGTGCAGTGAGTGGAATGAACAGTGAAATGCGTATAAACATTGAAGAGTTCTACTGTCCAACAGTGAATAGGGCAAGTCGTAGTTTCTTAAAGAGATATTCCAGATTGAAACATTAGAAATTGCTGGTCATTTCAGAAGTGCTGTGCCTAGTGTTGTAGTGGATCATTTTTATGAACAGTGACTATGGGACAGGGGCAGTTCTGTGCTTATTTTACACTTTGGAAAATGAGACCCAGGGTGGATTCAAACCCATCTCTGCCCAACTGAAAGTCAGAGTCCCGTCAGGGCTCATACTGGTACCATTAAGTTGGGTGGATCTGACCTTCATTACGAACACCTGAGGCATATGATTTAGCAGAAAAGAATTTGAGAATAAGAAAATCCAAGTGTCAGTTCTGCTTGTTCAGCAGTTGGTTCTGAAGACTCTGCCAAGCCACTTGGACCTTTGCGGTTCTTGTTTCCTTTCCTTTTGAGGAATTATGTTTGCTGAACTCATCTTGTGTGTTTTTTGCAAGGAAAAAATGAGATAATAGCTGAGGAAGTGTCTTGGAAACTTGAGTGATGCAAAAAGAAAGGGCTTACATTATTAGATTCTATTACTATGTTGGGCTATTGTTTCATAATGATTGTGTTGTCTTTTGATTGAACTTAAGAACCTTCACTTGATTCTTTCTTTTTCTGGCAAGGTTTGGCCTTGGATCTGTAAGGTTGATTTTCTAAGAGGAAGTTGTCCCCAAACATTAGGTTTAGAGCAGAGTTAAGAGGCACTAAACTGTAACACAAAAAATCACTTTCCACCTGTCAGCAAACAACTGATTTATCGTCTACTTCATTTGCGAAGGAAAATGACAATTAAAGGGCCAGTTTTAACCTCAGACTTATAATTGAAAAGAAAAAGAAACAATCAGAAAGCCGAGAGTGTACACACCCCTCACATGTGGCTCACACTGTGACGAGGGCAGGTGAGCAGAGGGCCTGTCCTGGGTGGCCTTGTGGAGGAGGTGCTGAGGCTTGAACTGGATGTGAGCATGTGGGGCTGGGAGTGAAAGTGGCAGGCACAGGCCAGGACAGTGGGATGGGTAAGTAAAAAGAAACAGGGATTATCCTCATGTGTAGGAAGGAACAGATACTGCACTGTGCAGTTGAGTGGGAGACCATGGGGGAAGGTGGAGGCAGTGTGTGTGTGTGTGTGTGTGTGTGTGTGTGTAAGTGTCTAGGCCATGTGCTAACGAACACTGAAAGCCAGGTCTGAGAGTTGTGGGACAAAGTCATCCAGAACCGTGGAAGGTTCTAGAGCCAGGGAATGATGGTGAGATACGGGCTGGGGGCCGGGGATCCCCAAACAGAAAGCTGGAGCTGGACACTGTGCGTCTAGCCTGAGGACAGACTGGGGAGGTAATTATGCACAGATGCATTCGTGAGGCAGCCCCTGAGTCCAGTGACAGAGTGCAGGACCTTGGAAGGAGGAGGAGGGGGAAGGCATGTCCATTCAGGCGCTTTGATAGAGAGGCTGCGCTTTTTCTTGCCTAGTTTCAAGATTCAGAGCTCTTTTGTAATGTGTGGGTAGTTGGCAGCAGCACTCGTGTTCGGTGCTTATATTATTCCAAGTTCATTTATGAATATTTCATTTTTAGCTAACTAATTGGTCTTGAGGATCTGAATTATGGATGTCACAAGATGGAAGATCAGTTTTGTCACTGTTGTGTTTGAGGCTTTTCCAAAGCTTTCAGGACTGATTTCATGTTTCTTCCTGCGACAACCAGATTGCCCACTGCTTGTCAGTTTAATTACTGGGTTCACTGGGCCTGGTTAGTGCTGAAAGGGATGAAAGCTAGTCAGGACCAGGACCCTGGAAGTTTCCACTTTGGGAAGAGAGACTCGTTCTCAGCCACATGGCGTCCTGGCCGTGCTCCCACGTGTGGATAGGGTGCTGCCTCACACACATAGACCTGCTGCTGTGCACTCTGCACTCTGTGCTCTGGGTTTGTGTCTGTGGGAAGAACATGGGCACTGCCATGTTGAATTTTGCCAAATTCTGGGGTTACAGTTCTCCCCAAGATTATGAAGTCTACCCTGTGCTTCTGACACCAGTCACAAATTCAAGGGACCTCAGAGGCCACCCTATCCAACCAGCTAGCTACAGATTTGGAGATCCCAGTGATCTTCTTCAGGCTGAGTAATTTTCCAGAGCTCACCAAACTTAGAGAAGTACTATATTTAAAAATTCTGAACCAGGACTTGGAAGGGTCCCAGTGGAGCTTTTCCCCTCCTTTCCATCAGTCCTGGATAGCGTTACTCCTTACTGTCTTCAGTGTGTGACAACACTGAGAGCAGAGCCAGCCAGAACTCCCATTCAAGTCACAGCTGTGCAGCTTTTGCAGGGATTCCACAACACGCTGCCCACGAGGGCTGGTTTCTAACCCTCTTTGAGGTCCGGGCTGCACCTTCTGTTTCTCGTTCCTCCAGAGGGCAGAGCGGATGTGCCATGTTTCAGAGCCTAGATTGTCAGATATCTGGGGCCGGAAGTCCATAGGCAAACAAAGGCACTCCCCTTGGGGGGTGGGCAGGGGGGCAGCCAGGGGTCTGGAGATGCCTCTCAGTCACCCGGGGGAGGCAGACCTCTCTTGGGGTCAGGTTGCTTCTTCTACACAGCTGCAGTCTGTGAGCTTTTCAGAGCAGTGGCTCCGACCTACGTGGCAGAATGCCAGCATCTGTCACTGGGGACTAGCACTGCACCCCCCTCCAGTAAACTGTTGTTTGTCGTGTTTCTTCAGTTAGGCTGACATGACGGGAAGTGGGTGTTTTCATGCCTGCTAGCTCTGTTGCTCTGATGTTAGTTGCTGCTTCAGGAGATTGCACATTTTTGTAAAAAGTATTAATAGGAAAAGTTTTAATTTCTGAGGTAAATGGTTTGTCTGTATTCTGTTTGGACATTATCCCTCTTGCCCCATGCACAAGGGCTGATCTGTCTAAAGGGATGACCTTTGTCTCGCTTGGTGAAGTCCATGATGGCAAAGGGGTCAAGTGGGCCTTAGCATGTTGTTTTATCTGGGCCTTTAGTGAACTTTCAGTTCTGGAAGACTTCTTGCCCATATTTTCTGGCATGCCTCAGTGAGATGGCCTGAGGGCTGCAAGTGTGTTGGCTGCCCTGGCTGAGGAAGGCCTTGGCCTGCATCCTTAGTCAGTGCGACCCATCCTTGGCTTCCCAGTTGGGCAGACACGCTAGTCCTCAAAGGTGCCGCTTCCCAGGATATCACTGCCTTCTCTGGTGCAGTCTCCCAGGTTCTCCAGGTCCCTCCCCAGGCAGGCTTCCTTGTGCAGCGTCCAGAGTCCTGCTGCTGACTTAGCCTCTGTGGCTTCTTGACTGGTAGGTGTAGGATGTTCTCCTAACTAGGGGCTCACTGGGGTGCTAGCACTGAGTAAGGTGGCTGTGTTTTATTGTTCCAAGCCACACGAAAGAGAGGCGGAAGGCCACTGACAGTTGTCCTTGTTTTGTGGTGATCATTCTTGAAAAGGTGCCAGGATCCAGGACTCTTCACTTTACCTCACTGTTCAGATCCAAAGAGGGCTGTGCCCATGCCGTGCTCCAGCCTGGCAGGCAGTTCAGCGGTTGGGATGCCAGTCGGGTTGGGAAGCCACCAGCTTTTCCCCTCCGAGAGGCCCCTCTCAGGAAAGCCACATCCCCAAGGGTCACACTGTTCGGCCTTTGCATGATTGTATGAGCTGGTCTCCCCCTAGCCCCACTTACCCTTCTTCATTCCCTCCTTCATTTATAGGTGAAGGCCTTAAAGATGAGCTCTAAGAAGAAAGGCATGTTGTAAAGAGCCACAGAACTGGCTTGAAAGCAGCTTTGGTGATGCTGTTTAGTCACTGGGTCGCTAAGAAACCTGAAAAATATTGTTATTGTCTTTTAGCCTATGATTTTAAAATTTAGATTGCAATTATTTTTCTCTTTCTGACCAGGAAAATTTGACTCCTTTGAAATAATCTGAATAGTTATATAACTCATCCAAAAAAAAAAAAAAAAAAAAAAAAAAAAGACAGTCTCAGAACACTAGTCCCGAGAACTCTGTGCGAGTAAGTCCAGAAGCTGTTTTTGAGAACTGGACTTAGATGGAAGTGATGGCAAATGGGGGAAGGGCTGTGGCCTGGTGGCTGATGGCCATAACTGAAGTCCTCTGTAGGTTCTGATCAGCTGATAGTCTTGACACAGAGTATAACAGTCAATTACCAGTGAACAGGAAGAGCAGCATGAGCACAGAAAATGGTATTTGTAGCTGGTAATTGCTGCACCTGCTTTAGGCCTTTAATTTCTAATAAAGTCTGAAACCTGCACATTTTCTCTCACTAAGAAGTTGAGTGCATCCACCTTGGTTTTTTATTTTATTTTATTTTATTTTTAGGGAAGGGTCTACAGGGTTTTAGGGTCTGACTACTAGATCAGACTCGTAGTGTTTGCAGCCTCCCAAGAGCTGGATTAGAGGTGTGCGCCACCATGCCCAGTCTCAATTGCCATCTCAGAGCAAGCCCAGGGGGTGGGGCCTGCATGGCAGGCCTGGGAATTGAAATCCTGGCCCCTGCGCCTGCTTATAGGACCTTTAATCCACTGAGCTATTTGGCCAGCACAAAGTTGAGGGTTTTTTTTTGGCTGGCTCAGGCTGCCTTAAGGGCGGGTCTGGTGCAGCATGTGGAGCTGGGGATCGAACCGCAGTCCCCTGCGCCTGACTAGTTTGCCCAAGCAGGTGCTTTAAACAACTGAGCTAACTGCAAGCCCCCCACTGCTACCTTGTTTGACCCCATCTTTCCCTCATGTTTTCCTTACAGAGTTTTTGGTCATGAAGAGGAAGAGAGGCAGACCTAAGGGCTCCACAAAAAAGCCCAGTGCAGAGGAGGATTTGGCAGAAAGCACTGCAAGCCCCAGCGAGGATGGGCAGCTGGCCCCAGAAGCAGGCAGCAGCCTGGAGCCCAGCAGCCTGGAGTGCAGCAAGTGCTGCCGCAAGTTCTCCAACCCACGCCAGCTCCGGAAGCACATCTGCATCATCGTGCTGAACTTGGGCGAGGAGGAAGGAGAGGCAGGTACTGCTGCCCACGGCTGCCGCGTCGGCTTCTGGGCAACAGCTGTAACCACTAATGCCTGTTTTTTGGTTTGGTTGCCCCCCGGAGAAGAGTTTATTTTCATGATTACTGACTGTTCCCATGTATAACCTTTCACTTGGTGGCAGGAGCCCAGTGTGTAAGGCCATGGTGCTTTGATCGGTGCTTTGGGGCTGCAGAGACGAGAAAACCCAGGCTCTACCTAGGGCGCTTATGCTCTGGGAGGAAGATGGAGTTTTAAGATGCAGAATGTTGAAGGATAACAAATTGTCGTCAGAAAACAGTGCTCCTATCAGAAATCTGTGAACCTGTGCCACAGTTTGAGTGGCATTTGGGTTAGAGGGAAGATGCCCACGTGGTTGGTCAGGGCCCCTCGAGCAGCACAGTGCTACTGGAATATGCACAGTGCCCAGGGGAGGACTTCGATGGCCACTGGTGACCATGAGCTAGATTTTGGAGGCTGTTCTGAGATATAATAAAGAATGGCAGTGCATTCTGGAATGAATTCTTGGTCAGGGTTCAGTTCTGAAGCAGCTTTTCAAGGAGCTTCGAAGAGAGGACCAGAAGCAGGAAGTGACGTGCGTGGTGTCTGAGCTTATCTACAGACAGCCCTGTTGGGAACAGCAGAGCCACTGTGGCGGGCAAGGCCTCTGGTCGGTGTATTGCTGCTGTTCAGCGCTGCACCAGCTGTGCTTAGAAAGCTCCCAGGGACCTGCACTTCGCTTGCTGTGCTGTGCGGAAGGCTGTTCTGCTCCAGCACTGACTCTGGAATATGACTTCTAGGGCTTGAATCTGCCCCACACTCATTAGCTTTCTCCTGCCTCAGTTTCTCATTATAATGCGGGACTAGAAGCAATGCTGTCTCATATAGTTGCTTTGAGTATTAAATGAGATTGGGCTTGTGAAGAGCTTAGAACAGTGTCTGCTGTCTCACTAAGTAGCCATATGGATATAACACTTGTCTCTCTTCCTGCTTAAAGGCAGCTAGACAGATTAAATAATTTGTCTGACATCCCTTAGTCAGTCAGGGGATCTGACCTTTGGGCCCAGCTATCTTGCTCTGAACCCTTGCATGTAAACTCTCTCTCTCTCTTTTTTTTTTTTTTGCCATAATTTTATTGATAAACAAATAACAATGAGACACTTTCAAATCAAATCGGTAGGACAGTTCCAATAATTAACATACTGCATACATTCTTCTTAGTGGTTAATTGCTGTACAAGATGAGGACCTGACATCCCATTTACAAACACCTTTAGAACAAATCATTCTATTCATTAAGAGAATGTAACTATATATCTATCCCAACCTCTCTGAATACACAGATACAAAATGGACATTCATCTGTATACCTTTTTTTGGTTAAGTTCTGTTATTT